CTTTATGCGACACGCTCAACTGCAAGCTCTTCTGCGAAAGTATTATTTCATGCGTACTTGTGATACATTAAATTCCCGTGCTCCGAAAATTTCCGCGTGTCTTCGTACGTTATAAATCAAACGAAACATTGCGAATGCTCATAAGTGCAATACCAATATCATGAACGAAGAGAGACAAAGGCAACCGGTTCATGTGGAAAGCGAGACGGCACGTAATCAAAATAGCGTAACGAGTCACGCACATATATGCACAGAATGTTTCATTTTGATTAACATTGCGAATTATCTCGGAAACAAAGCATTTTTGAAAGAAATGTGTTTGAAACGAAAGTTGTCAAGTTTGAAGAGATCCATTTGATGGTATTATTTTAGCTTTTCCTGTTACGGGCGAATTTTGGGAGTTAATAAAAAAATTTTTAATAGACAGAGAGATTGAGTAGCATTTTTCTAGGAAAAATGCAAAAAAATAAATACACTTTTGTCTGAAACGTTCTTTTCTTCGACAAATATTTTTGGAGACGTCCAAAAATAATTATTTAATTCTATGTATGCATGAAAAGTTGCGGAACGATTGAATATCTCGTAAGTGTAACAAATAATATATAAAACTGTAGTAAAAATAACAGAGATTTGCCCAAAGTCAAACCAACATCACCGTTAACTTCAACGCTTCTCGTACCTTACAATTTTCATAGGAGATATTTTTTTCAAAAATGTGTTGTTTATAAAGTATATTCAGCCGTAAATTTTCCTATATCCACTGATTGAAACAAACATCTCGAATATCTCCAAAAATCTTTGTCAAACGAAAATCTTTTAAACAGTTTCAAAAAGATTTTTATTTTTTTTTATTATAAAAAAAATCATTTGACTCCCTTTTTTATTTATGATTTTTTTACCATTTTCCCAAATTTTCCCAACGAGACACACTACAGTAACACCATAAAGTGAATCTCTTTTGAAACTTAATAACTTTTGTAGGGAATATTTCTCTCAAAAGTGCCTTTGATTCCGAGTTAATTCATTACACCAATTAAAATAAAATATCCTGTGTATCGTCGAGAGAGATCCTCGCGAAATCAATGACGGATAAATCGTTAATTATTTCCACAGATCAACGATCAAAAGGCTGGCGGATTACTGAGCTCACGTCATGCGATGCACGAGCTCTTTTAGATGCGTCGAATCAATCCCAATATAATCCGCATTAAGCTGCTGAACAACGCGGGTGGTATTAAACTGTGACGACTGATAATGCGTTCCACCGAAAATAACGGCGATTTCGCGAGAGCAACGGCCACGGCTCGTAATTTCTTCGGGACGGCAACAACGAGGGCTCGTGCGGATTTGTATCGCGGCTTTCGTCCGTAAACATTTGTAGTACGTGTACATCGCTAATCTCAAGTTTAGCACCCAAAGCAGAGATGAACGCGTATCTTCTCGCGGAGTGCATGTAATCCGTATTTCGGGTAAACCGCGATGCACTATCCTTGCAGTACCCTTGTTTATCTAATGCATATCCTAACGAGATAACTCTTCGTGGTTAGCGCGTTTTAAGGGGAAATTAGAAAGATTTCTAGTTACCGGGGAAGGTCGATGATAAACTTAATAAACGGTAAAATAGAGGCGATCCTCAAAATGTTATAATATGTTACGCGAAAGGGGCTCATAACGCGGAAGTAGCGCAGAATCGGGCAGAAGGGAAATTTCCGTGTCGATTAAAATGAGGCATCAAAGTGATTTAGCGACGTAATTGCAAGCGACTCGTTAGCATCGCTCCATGCAAGACCCCGATACATAGACCCCTTTTAACTGAGCGCAGCGCGGTGGAATGCACCGAAATTAGAGAACCGCATCGTCCGCAAGCAGTAGCGGCGCATAGTTGTGGATCCGAGCGTGTTCAAATCAAATTACGAATACCGCAACAGTATGACAAGCGACAAAGATTGTCTGCTTTTGCCGCGCCGTTTGAACCAGACGCGCGCGATGCGCACGACGTCCCACTTACTCGAATAGTAACTCAGTGGAAATTTCACATTGCACCACGTTTCTCTCTCTCTCTCTCTCTCTCTCTCTCTCTCTTTCTCTCTCTCTCTCTCTCTCACACTCTTCAAAATTAAATAAATCTATTATATCTATATGATTAGATTTAAATTAAGTTAAACAAATCTATTATATATATAATTATATTTAAATTACGTTACATAAGTCTAATATACATACTGTTAAATGAATCTAACTTAGATTAAGTTAAATAAATTAAGCTATTTATCTATCCGTAGGTCTGTTCTTTGCGGTTACACTGGGTTTGCTCTGACAAGTTGAGAAGTTCAGAATTTGACCAGTGCAAAGATACAGGCAGAATTCAACAGAACACTTTAACGCAGAAATGAACACGACGTCTCACCAAGGTTTCATTAACACTTTGAGTGCAGCATCAATTTCACGTGGCTTTACGAATTCATGTTACTGATGGCCCATGCGGTACTCAACGTGTTAATAATATAGGTTGAATTTATTCTTCACACGAAAAGGATTTTTACTTGATTCAGCTTACGAGTTAGCGTCCGAGAATCGAGACTGTTGCAATTGACACGCAATATTTTGTCGTTTTTCCAGAACCTGGCGATGATTAATGCGACGAAGAGGTGATGTGGCGAAACTGCGGTTGGACGGCCATCCTGGCCATATGGACGATCTTCCTGATTTTGAATAGCGGCTTAGCGGGCGGACGGATTTCCAATAATCCGCGAATCAACAGCGCTCGCACCTCCCGCGAAGGAGCTACAATCTTGGCGTTCGATAAGCAGTTTGCCGACGATCGCAGTCCGCGATATGCGAAAGAATCTTTCAGGACGAACGATCGTTCATCAACGGGGGCAGTTTCCGCGGAATTGGAAAATACGGAGACTGGGTGTTTCAATGGCCCGGGGAAGCGCGTTGCGATGTCGAATGCAATACTCACGTCGCCGGAGTGCGCACCGAGCGGTGGCGGCGACGGCGACGACGGAAATGCTCGTCGGCCGGTCGGCGCTGAAAGCGCCGCGAGTACGGGGGATGTGTGGTTGTCGAAAATCGTAATTCTAGAAAAGTCGGTGAATACACGTTACCGTAAGTCGCCGTCGAATCCGCGCGTGTCGTCGCCGACGTTACGCTCGCTGAAAGGCGGCGCCTCGAGGCGGAGAAAATATAAAGAGGGAACTTCCTGCGTGTTCTCGAACGGTCGTAAAGAGACGACGCCGATAAGAAGACGCGACGCACCGGCGTTCGACGAGCGACGAAAAGGGCGAGTCTTTAGCGGAGGAAACGGGGCGACGATTGCGTTACTCCATGGCGAATTTTCAAAACGCTCACGTCGAGACGCCGGCTCGGAAAATCTCCTTGCCTTCGAATTCGGAGCTCCAGTGGGTATCGAATCCGGGCGTACCGACGAGACACGCAAACGCAATAACAAGACCCGTGGAGCACGTTCCCGTCCAAGAGGTTATCTCGAGCCAACGAGACACTCGAATCGGAAGAAAACCCTAAGAGATGGTCTCGAATCGACGAGGAACGACGCGCACAAGTCGACCCACGTCGAAGCGACCGAGGCGACTTTTCCGAGCGACTCGAGGGAGAATGAAAGTGGCGGGCACGCGAGGACCACGGAGAACGTCACCATAGGCGACGCAATCGCGAAGAGCTCGTCGCAAGGGAGCGCCGTCGCATGGACCGCGTTGATCTTCAGCTCCGGAGTCTCGCACGGGGAGGCCCGCGGCAGCCGTCTGTCCAACCACCGTCGCTCGCCGAGGGACGAATATTCGGAGTCCCCGTCGGCCGGGACGCACGGGGAGCGCCGCGAAGGGGCGCGTTCAAAGGCGGGATTGAAAGTAAATACAGGAGCGCGGCAGGGCAGGAAATGGAACGAGGACGTCGGGGACTCGTTCGCTTTTGCGCTCCGCGCGCCGCCCGTTCGAAATCTCGGTGGGAATCGGATCAGCTTTGCGGAACGTTCCCTTCCTCAACCACCCGCATCACGGAAGACGGAAGGAAGGTCTTCGAGGTCGGCAGGCGACACAGCGAGCTCGCGACACGCGCATCATTCTTCGGCACGCAATATCGCCGCGGTAACGAACAGCCGGGCGAACCACCCGGCGGGTGGTCGACGATTGGGAAGGAAAACGCGGCCGGATGAAGGGATTAACGGCGATGCGGATGAACGCGATTTACCGATCGAACGGGTCGATCGGTCGATATCGCCGACGCCGCGTATTTCGGACACGCAGCGGCGGAATCCGATGCACGTACGACACGTTGAGTCCGCGGGCACCGGCTGCGAGCGACGTCGGTCGCCCGGAGTCCGGATCGGGGATGCCTCCGGCGGCCTCGCATCGGGTCTCGCCAAATTCGAAGGCCCTGCTGAGCGAAAAGCGCGCAGATATTCGCGGGAGGTCGGACCCTCGTCGTCGGCGACTTCCCGCGAGAGCGGATCGATCCCTCTCGATAGGGCGATCATCGGCGATAACTCGATCGCGACGCGGGAGATTAATGGACGCGCGGTGTCGTCGTCGTCATCGGGCGAAACCACGACGGGCGACGCCGGCAACAAGGGGGAAGTTCCGGTGGAAAATCCGGGGGCAAGCGAGGCTGGCGGGGCGCGAAAAGAATCCGCCGTTCGATCCCGGAGCGACGACGAGGCAGGCGGGCCGGCATATCGGCGATATAAACGTCAGGAAGTTCGGCCGAGCACTTGGGAAAGTTCGACGACGTTAACGGACACGGAGACGCGAAGGACACTCGATACGATAACAACAGTGGCGACGAGGAGTTCGCCGGCGGAGTTTACCGCGAGTCTATCCGTTTCGACGGTCCGAGCGAGCGATACCGCCGGAGTAGAGTCCGACACGAGCGGCCCAGACACGTCGTCGACCCCGCGGTATCGCGAATTCCAGACGGAACGGCGATCGATTGCGCCGACGGGCGTCGATTACGAGCGATACACGGCCGGCACTCCGGCGAAAATGGCCTCCGACTCATTAGAGATACCGTTTATCGCCGCGGCGAGAACGCCGGACGTCAGCGCGCTGGAAACGCCGGCGCTTCTAATCAAGACGGCCGATCGATCGGCCGCGGTGACCGAGATAGAGAAATCCGGGAAAGAAGCCGCGGTGGTTTCCGCGGCGGAAGTGACCGTACGAGCAGAAGCCGGAGGAGGGAGCGTCTCGTCGGACGCGCCATCAATCGGGCCGATTAGCCCGGCGGAAGGACGTGCCGGTTCGGCCGTGCCGATCATCGATCCGCTTCCTCAAAGGAGCAGCGAGCCCGCTCGAGATGTCCTCGAGAATACCACGGCGGAGAATGTCGACGACTCATCGGCCGGTACCGCCCTACCCTCGTGGCCTGTGAAGCACAGCGCGGTGGTCGAGGGCGATCTCGTCCTCGGTGGATTAATGATGGTCCACGAGCGGGAGGACACGATCACGTGCGGCCCTGTGATGCCACAGGGCGGAGTGCAGGCCCTGGAGGCGATGCTGTATACGCTGGACACGCTCAACGAGCAGGAGATCGTGCCAGGTGTCAAGATCGGGGCGCACATACTCGACGACTGTGACAAGGACACGTACGGCCTTGAGATGGCGGTGGATTTCATTAAAGGTAGGTACGCCACGACGGTGTACACCGACGATTACGAGCGTCGGGGCTATTTTGCGCGGCGCGATTTCCCGTCCCGGGCAATTTTTATCGGCGATTTCCCCATGCGAGTTTGTCAAGACGGGTTTTCCTTTAATCGTCGTGCGGCCAGAAAATTCGGTCGTGGGAACGGAAAGATTCCTGTAGGAGGCTGTCGCTCAGTCAGCTGCTCGCAGTTGTTTCCACCGAATTTCAATGCAGCTAAATGTTCCCACGGGTGTTCTCCGTCGCGCTGACGGATATATCATTTCTCTTCATCGAGATTTTCATCTGGTCCCTATTCAGTTGCAGGAAATGCGATTTTTTCTTTCACGTGGTAATGCTGCGCATTATTTTATATTGTGTTATATATTTTCGACACTTGTTGGCGGGCATATACCTTCTAATAAAGGAAATTGAAAGTCGAACTGAAATGCGGAAGGTGGAACAATTTCCCGAAACGTCATATTCACGAAATTCAAATATCGAGGCTGTCCCTCGGAACGCAGCTTTCCCGAAACATTGGAAGCATGTAATTTTCCCAGGGAGGTGTACGGTATCGAAATCAGTACGATGTAACGAAGAAATTATGACTATTGTTATTATTTCAGGATTGACTTTTTGAGAAACTGTTCCACGTGTGAAATTTTGAATTTTTGCTTTTTTTTTAAGACAATGTGTATGCCGATATGTTTCGACGGATTATATTTAAATTTGGGAGACTTGCGAAACGAAATTTAAATCGAAGCTGATGATCAAGGTTATATCCTGATCGGGTCTTCCGATATAACTTCCTGTTTGTTTTCTTGCTTGAAAGTGAAAAGCAAGGCTCTAGATTTAAAGTGTTATCCGCTTACGCGCGAAACCTCGCGAAATCGTAAAAAGATTACCGAGTAAGCCACGGAGACAATTTCCGATATGTTGCCGCTCCATTGATGGAAGCACCGCGACGATGTGAGCCCGTAATATCTCGGGGAAAGGAGGGCGGGNGGGGGAGGGGGGAGGGGAATTTCCAGCCGGGAAATTACTATAACGAAACCATCGCGGCATAATTTCTGGCGCGACGAGATTGTATTGACTTATTTCGTTATCACCTTGGCGCGACGCAACGACCGAATTTATATGTGCGTTAGGCGGAAAACGCATACATGCATGTCGTAGCGCGTACGTGTATATCAAAAGCGACGTTGTTGCTCCTTTTGAAGGCATTCACGCGGCGGAAAATAAAGCGGAAATTGCAGCAACTAGTTTCTAACGTTGCGTTCACACGAATAACAGATGTTGCGTGGGTTGAACGTTAATCGATTCACCTTAATGAACATCATATTAGCGTACCGAACATCATATTGGTGGAAGAAACGAACTTTGTCGCGTGGAAGTTGTCAAGAGTGGAAAATCGCGATGTTAATTATAAATTTCTCCAGACAATAAATATACAAAGTCTCTGGGGTGCAACTTTTAATTTGATCTTAAGCAGCGTCAATTATGCACTTACGGCCACTTTACATTCCGCCGAGCAATGTTCATCCTTATCGTAGATAAATAAAGCAGTAGTTTTAGCAGAACTTTAGTCGATGGTGAGCCAACATTTCGTATCTTGAAGAAGCTAGAAGCTCGACTACCCGCCGTCGGTAAGTTTCCAGCCTGATAAAGCTCCGTCTGAGCTTTCCATGAAGTACCGACAAAAAAACGCCAACGCATGATAAATCATCTCGGGACATTTTTCGTCATTCGCCATCGGCCAATAACATGGACAAATTCTGCGAGTGCAAAATTCTCGAGTATATTTAAATAATCGAACGAGGGGGACACATTATCGGTGCGTGAGTGTGTGTGTGTGTGTGTGTGTGTGTGTGATATGAACAGCACTCGAATCGCTCGCTTTCTGTGCTGCGGTCGTAATAAATAAAATAAAAACCGATGTGAGTTTATAATCCAACCGGAAAGTCAAATATATATATTGCGGTAATAAATAAAAGAATACCGGGGAAAACCGATATGCGGTTTAATATCGTTTCGAACGGGTTTCACACATCGACACTTCTCGTCGAAACGGGAAAGGAGAAGCGCATCGTGACTGCTGCAGATGGATCGGAGTCTGCCGCTCCACTTAATTTATGCGCACCGCGCATAATCGCCCGACAACAAATGACGCAAGATGTGATACCTCAGCCACGAAGAATGATGCACATTTGTTCTCCGCCGGCGGCGGCTCGGGCGACGATGAAAAATGAGCGATGGAATTCCGGCTTGTGTGTGCTTCCCAATCCATAAAGTTTTCCGTAAAAATATCGCCCCGCAAGTTAACACGTTCGTTCGCGCTCCCGAGCAATATGTAGAATCATTTGAAATTCAAAAGAAACAAGCAGTCTCTGCATGTGGTAAAAATTTCTCCGCGACGTCCTCAGCAAAAGTTACGCGGTAAGGAAGGTGACGGCGTCACGAGCTCGCTCTGATAACACCCGAAAGATTAAAGTCGTTGTATTATTCAACGGCTGGCACGTCCGAGCGATGTGGACTCTCTCTCTCTCTTTCTTCCTCTCTTCTCTCTTCCTTTTTTTATCTGTCTGCCTCTCTTTCTCTCTCTCTCTCTTTTCCTTTTTCATGCCCTGCGAGCTAAGAATTCTCTATTCGACCCTCACATTTAATCTTGACCCGGGTTAAAATAGGTGCCTGCAGACGCGACGTACTCGCCCTGAGCTTGCGCCGACTACCAGCTGACACATCACAACTGGTTGATGTTCACGATGGTAGGACGGTTTTTATTGATACCTTCACAGGTGCGGATTCTTGAGCGACTTTCGAACAGGCCGCATGCGGCGTAATACGCGCGTCGAAAGGTCGGTTTAAAACCATCCCGTCGGCTCGTTAAAAATCGCCGTTAAGTGAAAGCAAATTTGAACGACGTGTCGAGTGAAATCTCGCGGAGTTCTTTAATTTCGCAGCGCGAACCCGCGAGCCGATATATCGCGCTCGTGTTGTTCTCATTGTCGGCTATTAATTCGCGCCACTAAAATTTTCGAGGAAGCGAGTGAGAGCACTCTCGGTGGTTTGCTGGATAGCCTTCGGCCAGCAATCGCGCATGCAGCACTTTTGAACATTTTATGTTATCGAGGCGCAGCCTTGCTATTGCGCGCGTATATTAGATATAAAGCGTTTAAAGCGGAAATGTGAGGTGCAATAACGATAAAATAAAGAACGATATCTGTTTCTCTCTCTCTCTCTCTCTCTCTTTCGCGACATGTAATCCGCTTCTCGTAGCGAAGTCTGTTACGTAAATGCGATATAAACACAGACGCACGCACGCACGCACGCACACACTTGCATGTGCACACAAGTGTGCGTACAATCTCATAAAACTCTTGCGTTATTATACCGTCGCGTGACATTTAATCAAACAATTACAAGTTGCTGCGTTGTACAACGCGATGTTATTATTACGCAATGAAATTACGCGGCTTTGCGTAAGAGAGAAGCATTCGCACACGAACACACGTACACATACACATGTCAGTTTTCGTGATGTATACCCAGTGGGCGGAAGAAACGGCTAACAGGGAGAGAGATAGCTACAAGTAATTTGGTTCGGCATGTTCGAGGTATCCGCGGATAATCTTCAAACCGATGGACCTTTATGAGCCGTTAATTAATATCGCATGCCGAATTTCCCGTCGAGAGAGCCTGTCGCGGCCACCGCTGCGGTCTGTAATTATTATAGCGTTTGATGCAGTCGGACCCTCTGTATACTGGGTGCATCGCGAAACTGCAACGACCGCGACTGTCACGCGAAACGCTGGCGGCGTTTTCCGGCGATATCTGACTTTAAAGCGTCGTTAATAAAAATGGAAGCACGCGAGAGGGTGGGAGAGGGAGGGAGGAGGTGGAGTCGGAATGGAAAAGTCTCGGGGGGCTTTAGTTATTTGCACATATCGACCATTCCGGCAGCGGTACGACCGAGCTGTTACGTTACGCGATATACAAGAAAACGTTTCCGCAAAAACAAAAGAAAAATAGCCGAGGGAGGGAGGGGGAGGGAGGGAAACGTTTTCGAAAATGAGGCCGGAGAGTCACAACGGGTTTTTCGCTGAAGTTCGCTAATGCATGAGACGAGACCGTCATAGTGTAAGACGGGGAAGTGTAGCTTCGCATCTCGACTCGCTGTGGTGGATTTGCATCGCGAGAGACACCAGGTGCAATGCTAATGCACCATGTTTCGCGGGGTCTCGCAGAGATGATATTTGAATCGACTGCGGACCCATAAATAGAATCATCGTGCTATAACGCTAATACTTCGTTACAGTGGCACGATGCATTTATATCGTGGTTCACGGCCGTTGCGCGCCTCGGGATTTTCGGACACGTATCATCCGATATAGTAGAACGGGAAATTAGCCGACCACGCGCGATTATGCGTCGTATAATTTTGCAAAAGTGTCAATTCGGCGATGCGCGATACGTACGTTTCACCTACACGTTTATTTTGCGCATTTCACTTCGAAGTTCTGTCCTGATGTTTGAACGCGCGTCAAAATTTTGTTTTTGCCGTTAATCAGACGTTAACTGCGATCGTTAACCCTTCGTTGATGCATTTATTTTTACCGCTAGTTTAGCATACCGGGTCTTTGAGACCCGGTGAATTTTCTAATATATTCTTACTTAAATTTGTATAAATGTGTTTATCCGGTCTGAACGTGCGATAGTTTTGAGTGTACAAAAGATAAACTTGTACAATTTGTCACAATAATTATTTTTCGAATGAAAATAGTATTCTTATTTTCCAGTGGAGGACATTTGGGACATGGGTAGCTGAGAAGTGTAAGAGGGGAGTGCACTTGCAGTTTTTAATGTTTCAGACGGATTTTTTAATTTAGTTGAACCAATACATAAATGATTGTAAGAGAAATACTGTATTCGTGCGGCTATCGTACAAAAGCATGTGCCTTGAGCGCGAACATCACAAGCGTTTAGATTGCGATTGACAAGCG